TGATACTGATTCAGGAAATAAAACTACCGTACTAGTTGATCTGCCACAAAGGTGTAGATGACCTTTATTTAAAAATCTTAGTAGTATCAAACTCCTCAACACAAACTAACTATTCAGAAACACATTAAAGTGGTTTCCCACACTGCTGTGAGCATCCATAATACAAATCCAATTCTGTGAGTGTGGAAGAAAATGTTACCTGTGTGTTACTTGTTTGTAAAATCTGTCCCTATTTTTGAAAGATATATTCATGGCCAGATGCAGATGTGCTCTTTGGAAAAAAAAAAAAAAAAAGCCAAGACAGTTAAATGCCTGTTCAAGTTTCAGCAACTAATTAAACATACTTAGATTTGGGACACAAGCTGCAAAAAAATTAGGAATGTTAAGATTCAGCTTCTAAAGATTAAAAGGAAAGAAAACCTATTACTAGAGGCTGTAACTTCCCAAGAAAATAAGTCTTTGGGGTACATAAACCTGCTGTTACAACTTGTGGTATATTTCTATTGGTTATATTTTCTAAAAGTAGTGTTAGTGAGAGAGTTGCAGTTAAGCTTATGAAAAATTGGTTGAAGAATTGCAGTTATTACTGGGTTTTTATTTTTGGTTGAAGTTTTTGTTTGCTGTTTTTGTTTTTTCACCCCCATTTGGAAAACCTGTTTCCCTCAATTGCAGTTGACAAATATGCGTCATGTAATTGATAACATTACATGTTAACAGTTTGTATCCCTGTCTTTTAACTTTGCATTTTTTTGTCAGTAATAGTTTTTATATAGAGGATGTCAGGAAAGAGTAGGCAGTTCAACATTGAGGACTGGCAACTTTTTGCATTCTCTGTGTATTTCATGCTCTGTTTGTTGGAAAGACTAAAATAAACTTCTGGTCTTCTCGTCTCATATTAACATTGTCATAATTGCTTTAAGAGAGGGCGAAATTATTCTCTGGTGGAAATGCTATAAAACAATTTCAGACTAACTTGCACATGCAGGCCATTTATGATGACTGTGTAGAATCCAAATTGGTTTTAGATTTATAGGCCTGGCAGTTGGAAAAGAACACCTTGTAAACTGAAATTCTGATTTGGAAAATATGGCGATGAAGTAAATATGGAACCTGAAAGGACTCAGTTTTCAGACTGCAACTGCCCTTTGATCCTCCTCACCTTTTCCTGTTTTATGCAGTGGTCTCCTTTACTTATCATTAGTATGTCTACAATGCCACAAAATCATTAAGTATTTTAAAAACATTATAGACACAAACTGTTGCTCTGAGGATCTTGCAAATAAGTCTTAATAGTTCATTTGTTATGAAGGATTTATTGTGAAGAATTTACTTAAAATTTGTAATGTTCAAGAACATGTGAATATATATTAACAGATGTGCACAATTTTTATTTTGTACCTTTTTCATGCTGGATATGTAAATGAAATTCTAGCAGGATTCTTTGGAACTTTTATCACTTCTTTTTTCCTTTAATCTCCATTTTTTAATTGGAGCAAAGAACAAAGAGCTGAACAGATTTATCAAAGAGATATGTAATTCTTTTAAATTAAGTTCTAAATTAAGTAATAATGTTCTAATCAGTTCTGTAGCAATAATAAGGATTTTCTGTCATTAAATGTTGAAGCCCAAGCTCTCAGGAGACCAAATGTTCTGTGTATGCTAGACATAAGACTGGACAGAAACTTTCAGCACAGAATGATTGGCATACACTGCATGGACCTAAATGTAGGATAACAGAGTGACTCAAGAACAGTCCTGAAGTTAGCTACAGAGTTTTTCAATTGATTAGGTGATTCTAAGCAGGTGAGATTGAGTTTTTCCTGAGAAGAGAGTTTCAGCAAGGTAGTGGTTTCTTAAATATTCTTCATTTTTACTATACTGCATTATGGCACATGTGGAAATGCCTGTGTTTTCAAAAGTCAACTAAAGTGTTGAGATTCTGTCCTTGCATAATCTCTCTACTTTTCACCACTCAGCTCAATGGTTTTAGAAGCTCGTTAGAGAAAGTATAAAGGTCTACTTTTTCAGTCCTCTGACACTTGCTCTTGGTTTTTACTAGGCTGTTCAGGCATAACACATGCAAAATTCTAATTGGGTGAGGTGCACATTTACTTGTAAATGTAGTTCCTAAACATGGAAATATATATTTTAAATGTGGTTATTTTAAGCCAATTAATTTACTGATGTTTTTTCTTTCTGCCATGATGTTCCATTTTTTCATTGGGCTTAGCAGTAAAATGTCATTTGAACTGAATTACTTAATAACAAGAATTTGTTTAAAAACTAGTTTATCCAGAAGGACTTGCATATTTGCCTGAAAGCAGAGGTAAGTATTTAGAATGCTGGTGTAACTTTTTACATTTCATTTCTAGGCCTTTATTAGACGCTGTTTAGCATACCGAAAAGAGGATAGATTTGATGTCCACCAGCTGGCTAATGATCCTTATCTTCTCCCTCACATGAGGAGATCGAATTCTTCAGGAAACTTGCACATGACTGGGCTAGCAGCATCCCCTACACCACCTACTTCAAGCATTATTTCGTACTGAAGTTTCTCCAGCCGAGGAATGGGATGATACCTTTGTGTAGTTTCCTGATGCAGACTTGAGCTTGAAAGCATTTGAGTGTTTTTACACAGGACAAGTTTGGTAACTGTGTTTTCAGACTGAAGTCCTCCTACATAGTGTCATTTGTATGATTGGAATGGATCATGGACTGTGAATAAATGTACCCTTCTGAGAAACACCGTTAAACATTGAAGGATGACACTTCCTGTTACAACTAGCAGGTATACTGTGTTTAAGACTGAAGAAAAGGTTTTTAGTTTTTTTCTGGGGAACATTGTAAATAATCTTTTTAATACTTAAAATACATTTGGTGGATACTGGAAAGTTCTAACATGAAGGGTAGTTTTTCATTATTTAAATCTAAAAGAGTAGTAGGTAAATTTGAAAACACAGGAAAAATTTCGTGCCTGGTTATAAACTAAATGAACTGCCATCTTTCCAAGACATTGATCTTTTGAAACCAAAGTAAGGAGCGTGAGACGGTGAAAGATGTTCTGTATCAGATTTCTCAGTTAAAAGTAGAGTATTTTATTTGGCAACTCAGGCTTGTACCTCCAAAAATGTGGTGGTGTTTCATGAATTTAGATTGGAAGGGTGATATGAAATTCCTGGTACTTACTTCTCAAATAGATTGCTAATTTTGAAATCCATTCAGTTTTCTAAAAATACTACACTTGCTGTGGTATCAAAACTCATGAAACCTTCCAGGCTTCTAATAAAAGCAAGCAACAGTATGAAACCAAATGCAAACAGGTCATGTATAATGTTCTATGCAGGAATAATGATAAATTCCCTTCTAGCTCTATTGTAAATTGTTGTACAGATGTCACATTTTCAGTTAAATTTCAGCAACTTATTCCTGTACAAATGTTTAAAGTATGGCTTTTTCTAATTGGATATTGTATTTTTTTTAAGTCTCCCTCAAGGCGCTTTTAATTGCTGCTAAATGATGTTGCTTTTACTTTACAAAAGAATCAAATGACCTCCTTAAGGTGCAAGTCAACTGTACGTGTCAGAGAGATTGAGAGTAGGCAATCTGTTAACAATCAAGGCATGTCAAACAGATCTGTGTTGGCAATATACAGTACAGTTCTTTAACTCAGTTTATTGCGTTCTCAACCTGCAGAGCGCATTGATACTAGATGTAGAAGTTGCTCATGGTTATTCTCTATTTCTGGAAGTTCCTATCAACAAGGAAATGTTTCTTGTGGCTTGTACAGATATTTTAAAATGTGAAACATTTTCTAACTGCCTTGTATGGTAGAAACTTATTTTTCAGAACAGTGTATCTCTCTCCTGTTCACTATTCTTTTTACTATCCCATTCTTGATGCTGAATACCTATATGTAATTTTGTCCATGTTGCAGGAAGAGGAGGCTGTATTACCACAGGTTTTCATTTAGTATTGTACAGTTAAACTGTTGCTCTTGTTTCTGATGTTGCAAGCCATTTTGTTTTCATTGTATATAAAGAAACGTTAACTGTCTCTTTAAGATGCTGCTGAAATTGTAGAGAATGTAGCCAAAACAGTAATAAACAATGGCAGTTGAAATTTCAAAGTTTTCATGGTGTGTTTTTACATTTCAACAGAGGGCAAATCACATAACTGTATCACTGAGCTGCACTTAATTATTTAAAACACACTCTTTGTAATTACAAACAAAAGGCCAATAATACAATAATTAAGTAAGGAGGTGAAAGGGGAGGATTTCATGAAACTTAAAACATCTGTTGTAATGAAACTTCATTTCACTGAATAGATCTCACAGAAATAACTCTTAAGTATGTCAGTGATCCTTCTTTAATTCTTGAGCTGTGGAATAAAATTAGTTTATAGAATGACTAGAAAATTAGATTCAAATAGAGAACTGGTGCTGTATCCTTTTCACTCTCTATGGCACGAGACAGTGCAGAGTGTGAGGAGAATGCTATAACTGTAAGCTCACATTAGATTTCATTCCATCTTATTCTGCACGTGTCACTAACAGAATTTAAATCAACTGTTTTGCCTGAGGAAAATATGTACAATTGTGTGACTATTTTTTTTTCTCTGGAATGTGGTATGGTTACCCTTGAAAAAGGTAAGTTAGGCAATGTATCAGAGAACTACTTAAGTAACTGAGAATTTTACAGCTACCTAAAACTAAGAAGGTTTATATACAGACTTGCTGTTCCTGCGGTTAGGATCTGGGAATAGGCTGTTGTGGCAAAGTACATGACATTTGCTTCAGCTTTACAAATGCATGTTTCTGAAACCTAAACACCCACTTTAGAAAAAGCTTCCTACAGATAAAAAAAGAGTCACCATCTTCTCTTTTGAATCAAAGTTTGAGGTTTTACCTCCCAATACGCACAGTTATGTTTGTTTTAATATCTTGCAGTACTGTTAATGAAAATTTTGTATCCCCACATGTAGTCATTCTGTGGTCACAGGAAGATGTCTGAGTTGGTGTGTTTGGTGACTACCATTCAGCAATTTATGCTTGGGATAGAAGTACCCTTGAGGCTGAGTCTAGGAGCCTGAGTTCTGGATCTAGGAGGAGTTCTGGATCACTTCTAGGTAATTCATGTATCAGCTGTTCAGTCTGTATTTTATGCTCATTTTACTGATTTCACTGTGTATCATCTGTCACTAGGTTTCCTAAACTTTCTCCTGATTTAATGGCAGGTAGACAGAAGAAACTAAGTTAAACTTCATCATGCAGTTTTTAATGAATCTTGGAAATAAAAAGCTTCCTTTATTTTAAATTCATGAATACTTTAAATGTCTGCATTTAATGGAAGATTGTAAAATATTGCATTACCGTATAATTAAGAAAAACCCTTTTACATATGAAACGGGTGACTGTGAGAGAAATTCTGCACTTGTAACTGATTGTAATGCTACAGGTCCTTGCAGCCAGAGTTAACATTGGTTGGCTTGTGCCTGGAAAGCAACCGTGTTTTGGCACTTTTTTATTTTACTTATATTAGCACTGAATTTGTTCAGATTTCACTGTGGAGCACTATTCACTTTAAACTTGGTCTACACCAGTTGATAGATACCAGTTCCGTGGAGGGTGGTTAATATTTTAATTTTCTGAAAAATGCTTTTAGTGCTCACAAGTAGTCAGGAAGAGCATCATGGCAGCTGTGTGCTTGCCCAGGCACTGCTGACCATGCCTGGCCAAGTGGAGCTCTGTGCTGCTGGGACCCCCATGGCAGCCCAAGCAGGTGACTGCGTGTTTTAAAATCAGCAACCCTGGAAAGGAAAGCATGTCCTGGAATTTGAAGCAACCTGAGTGCTCCTGGTCCAACTCTGATGTCTCCCCAAATGTGAGAAAACCAGGCATTTTTCTCTGAAGGCAGAAAGGGGGGCCACCAGCCTGACTGGGTCTTTTTCCCCTATCCCCAGCTCTCGCAGCCAAGCGGGACATGACACATCCAGCCTGGGGAGGGAATGTAGGTTCCCAACAGCGCTGCTGCTTCGACCTTGCTCTGGATTTCAACTTTACCGGGCCTGGAGCTGCTGCTGTTGGTGCAGAAGAGCCACAGCACAACTGGGCCCAAGCTGGGCAGGTCAGCGGTGCCCCTGCTGCTGTGTTCTGTAGCATAGTGAGACGGTGAGGGAAGGAGCCTCCCAGGAGGTGAGAAGTGTCTTTGGGTCATTTATTTTTCTTCAAAAAGTACTGAGGACTTCCTGCTCTTTTCCAGAAGTGGGACATTGCATTGGGAAGGTCGACTGGAGAGCCTGACCTGGGGGAGGGGGAGAAGGCCTGGGCAGAGTGTCAGGACAGGGACGGCCTCAAAATTTAGAGGAACTGTGTTTAGAGAGTTTCCTGATACTGTCTAAAACACTTCAATCTTGCAATTGATGTTTAAAAATACTTTTTTCTACATGCCAGCTACAGTCAGAGAGAGGACTCTGGTTTCATTGGGAAGGAGTGTCGGGCAGCATGGGCTGACTGTTTCCCGTGCACAGCCCCACACTCCATGTGCCAGCCAGCCCAACGTGTCTCTCTGCCACCACATCACGGGCACCAGGGCACTGTCGCATCACAGCGTGATCCTGCCGTGGGCTTCAGGGTGTGACTACCCTCCTGAGGCCTGGTGCATACCCAGCTCCAAGCAGCCATGGACTGTAGAGTTGAGGACTGTTGTGTTTGTAGGAAAGGTAAGACTGCAAATATTTTCAGAGAAATTTTGAATAATCCAACAGTTTCATGTCTTCGTGACCACAGTTTGGTGAAAGGAGTCTAATGATAGGGAAACTTGCTGTTGGAGAAATTAGTTTTTTCTAAGTAATCGAGTCACCTTGCTATCTTTTCATTGTGCTATGTTTCCCAAACCAGTAAAATTCTGTGTATAAATCAGGGAAAAATGCTTTCCTTAGAAATCTCATTTTGTATCTAGTGTCTTGAGAGCTAATCGGGTATCATTAAGAAATTATGTGATGTTCGAATTTCAGAATTGTGCAGATATGTGAATATCTTCTGCTCTGCAGAAGCATGCACAGGGACTTTGTCTTTGAAGAGTGAAGGAGATCAAAACCACATTTCATATATCCTCAGAGGATGTGCTGCCATCAGACCAGCAGGTCAGCTAGCAAAGTGAAGTGTTTTCTTGCTCTTATATGGAAGTTATGCCATAGTATTTAGTGGAGCAGAACTCTCCAGACCAATGAAAAAGTGTTTCCCAGAACAGAATGCCATAGCTTCATCTCCAAGCCCCTGTTCCATTATTGTTGCTGTTGTTGGGCTGTTGTACTCCCAGTGTTAAAAAACAAGCAGTCCCTGGACATCACCCTTGTGTTTGCTGTTACTCTTGGGAAACCTGTTTACCCATGTGCAGGGTTTGAATCAGCTTTGCAGCTGGCCTGGGGTTCTGGCTTCCTGTTATTTTTACTACTGATGTATGGGGGAGTTGTGCAATTGTCTTCTCCAAGACTTGAAGGACAGTCCTTAGCAGAGTCTCTGTCTTCAGTAAGGTCTGGGAACAGCAGCTACAGCTCAAAGAGGCATAAGCACTATCCAGTGCTTCAGCAGTTAGAAGTGCCTGTCAGTACCTTGCTGAATCAATATCCTAGTTTATTTTTGATGCTGAAATACTGAAATATTTATAATTCTAAAATATTGTTCACTACTAGAGAACTGTGATACCTTAAAATATCAATGGTATGCAACTTTATGAAAGACCATGTATTATGTTAAATACATTGGCTGTATGTACAAGCATAGGGTTGGGTTTTTTATGGTTCTTTTTGAAGGGATAAAAGTGCCACACACATCAACAAGTCAATGGCCTTTATATAACATATGCAAAGATTGTATTTCACAGTGTAGCACTCTTGGGTAAAATCTGGCAATATGTGTCTTCTGTTGCCCAAATGACTTTTAACCTAAATTTATACAGTTTCTGCACACCTTTCACTGCAATGGAATAACTGGAACTGGGGCTTGTAGAGAAAGAGACCCTGTGTTACTTAAATACGTATCTTTTATCTCTCAGACACTGGCCCTGCAGCTTCTAGGACAGCTAGGCTGGGACCGTGCCCAGGAGTGCCCCAGTATGTCACCATGCAGCCACAGTATGTGATGCATGGAAAATGCATTCCTAAAATGTGCTATCTTTCGATAGATGGCAAAGATTCCTGTAAGAATCAGTGTAATAGTGGGGTGATGTGTGCAGCACCTTGAGAAACACTGTTTGAATACACAGGAATGTATTTTGCATCTTGACCTCTATCCTATTAATGCTTCCAGAAAAGAGTTCTCAAAATGCAAGACAAAGACAGGAGAGATGGTTTCTTGTGTTTTGTGGCTTAACTTTTTGGGACACTCTTGACTTTAGCAGACCTGGAAGGAAAGCTAGAAAAGGGAACTGATTCCCCATTAGCATTGATGAAAGCTTTGCTGGACAGAGCACCAAGAACTGCATCGCTTTGTGCATGTGTGAGCAGATCCAGTAGATCTGCACTTGCCTTCATTGGTAAAACAGCGGTTTCCACCAAACCAATGGAACTAGCAAGGATTTAAAGGACTCAAAGAAGTAAAACGTCCCCCATGCTCCCAGAATTCTGCTATCGACCCCCTCTGCCTTTGGGCTGAGCACGGCAGAGGAACAGGACCTGCCAAATGGTCGCATACATGGGACTGACTTAGTGAGATGGTGCAGCTTCTTTCATTCTTCTGGATTTGTGCCTCTAAACAGCCACCTGAAGAGTTATTGCACAGCTTTGTACATTTGCATGATGTAAAACTTTCTTCATGACAGAAATAATTACCCTAACCACTGCACAAATGGTTTGTTTCAGGCTTGCAGCTGTGGCTCATTGGCAGCTGGCAGAGCTCTCATCAGTGATTTGAGCACTGGAATACCTTCCCTGCATGTCCTTCTATTGCAAAGCCAGGTAAGTAACATATTAGTTGGCAAACTACACATGAGCTCTTGCCCATAGTGAATTTGGAGCATCTTGTTCCATTGGTAAATGTCAATTCACATACATTTATATGAGATCACAGAATGTTGCTTGTAGAATTATATAAGGTTGTATCAGGTGCTGAGCTGATCTCATAAATTGTTGTCTTAGAGGTGTCAGATGTCAGGACAGTTTTATGATTGAGCCCAAACGTGTTCCAATCTAACAAATTAGCATGTCATAAAGGTTATTGCCCCGTCACCCAATTAACAAACCCTGTATGGATAAAATAGAATTACTCCTCTGTCATCCTTTATCACCTGTCAGAGTTCCTGTGTTTTTAATGACCCTCGTCCTTTTCCACTTATACTTTAATATATTGGTAAAATGAAAATCTTAATATGTAGGTAGTACATTAAACAAAGCATGATCCTAATGGCAAAAAGACTGGTTTTTTTCTCCTTATCTTGGAGACCACTGAGAAGAATTCAACTGAATTACATTGAGATCACTTTTCTATTTTGGGGCATGCTTTGATGTGTTCTGTTAACATCAGGCAGCAATGTGAAGGCCTCTTTTTTTTTTTTTTTATGTTTTGAGTGAGGCAGGTCATGTTTTTCTCCCTTCTGGTTTTGCAAAGCATTACTTGGGTTGCAAAGGATTTTGCTAGTTTTGTGCTAAGAAGCAACACAAATGGGGCACAGAGATCATGAAGAAAAGCCAATATGAGCCATTCCTATTTGAAAATGGGTAAAAGCAACCAGGAGTCAGGTGGGCAAGGCTCCAGACAGATGGTGTGACTGAAATGACACTTCAGCTGTGTTCATTTAGATAACTTGCATTGTGTCCAGAACATTTTCAGACTCTGCCACTCTGCACTGGGGGGATAGAAGGTGAATTGCTGTAATGGCCAGTGGCATAGTTTTACGTTGTGTTTCGTATTTGGACATGCAGAAACCAAACCCAGGGCACAAGGGGAAAAGTAGTGGTACCTGAATCATCACAACTTTGGTGCTTATAAATTAGCCTCCAGCTAAAATCAGGGAGGTATATCAAAACTCAGCTTGCCACTGGAGATCTGCATCAGACACTGCCAGCAGCCCAGGGAAGGAGGCACCCGGTTTCCCAGTGCCCACTAGATGGCAAAGCAAGGTGCTCTACTGAGACTGCTAAACACCTGCTTTACCTGTCTGCACCTCACACTGGCAATGACACAGAGCGTGGCCGTGGCAGTATAAGAGCCGCAGATGCTGTAACTGAGCGGTCAAGACTGCTCATCCCTTTGGGATATTGGATGAAGGCTCCTCTGCCTTCAGCAGACAGAGGATTTAAATACTAAAGACTCTAATTTTCCTAGAAATTGGCATGGGGAATTGGAATTCAGAAGCATTGGGCTGTACTTGTCTATTGACTCAACAAATGCTAAGGGAAACATGTTTCTCTTATAGCTTATGTAAAAGAGGAGGAATAGCGTGTAACAAAGTGTATTGGTTTGAGACAATTTGTGTGTCTGGATGGAAAAATGCTGTTTTATGGCTGCTGGACTAAAGTCACAGTTGGTGGGAGAATTATGGTGCTCTTGGTCTTCATTTAACATCACTCAGTTTAACATTCCTAGCTGGAGATAGGGGGTTTTCAGTCAGTGTGAGCAAACCCAGGGCTCACCTCTGAGCCCTTTGCACCCACAGCCTCCCTTGCCTCCAGACCAAGGAGCACTAGCTGTGTGCTAGGTCTCATCAGCTGGTGGACCTGGGTGAAAATGCAGCCCTGTTTTTGGCTGGGTTACCTCTCAGCCAGGAGCAGAAGCTGACCTGAGGCCCCAGGCAGTCACACGGGTGCAGGCACCCATGCTGGGAAGTGCTGGTGTGAGCACCAGTGGGCGTAGCGAGCAAGGGGAGAGACTCTTCTGGAAATGGCAACATCTTAGCTTGGTGCAGGACAGGTCTTCCCTTTCAGCTCAGGTTGCTCTGCTGCCTACCTGTCCTTCCCCAGAGGCAGGCTTATCCTCACAGCTGGACTCTGGCTCACTGGCTTTCTCTCAGGAGGAACATCTCTCCTAATGGGGACAGTTGGCTGGCTACCCTACCAGTGTTCTCAAATTTTCATTGTGTGGACATCTTGCCAGATATTCACAAACAACTTCCTTCTCCAGGCATGATCCAACAGTGTGCTGTATCCAACTGAAACGACAGGGGAAATTCAGACACAATGCAATAAAGCAACTGGAATTTGTTTGTCATAAACCCCAAGGGCATGTTCTCATTAAAGCAATTAGTTGTATCCAGCAGTTATGTTCTTTCATGTTTGCATTACACCCCTCTAAACTACCAGAGATTAGGGTCTGCTTTCGGGGTTGTCTCTGGGTCTCTGCTCTGACTGACAGGGAGAAAACTTTTCAGGCCGGGCTTGGAACAAAGAGCATTCCTTCACACAACAGCTGTTATTCTTACCCTTGCGGATGGTATGCTAACTTCATTCATGGACTGAAATCAGTCGTGGGGCAAAGGGGTGAGGAGAGATTATCTCTCACCTGACAGACAACGAACAGCACAGATGTTGTGCAGCAGCAGGCAAAACCACTAGTAGGAGATATAGGAAACATCTCTCTGCAAGTCAGCACCACTTTCCGCAGGGCCCTCAGGTAGCTGGTTAGTTTAGTGTTGCTTCTGTGCCATCACACAAATGCTTGACCAAGCAAATGCCTTTTTAGCATATGAGAGATGTAGCACACGGGCCATGCTGGGCTACGCTGTCCGATGAGGGATTGCACAGAACCAAAAATTCTGAGAAACAGTAACAATCACAGCAGCCACCATGGAAATCTGGGTGCTACCAGCATATAAGCCCTCAGTGCCATTTCTGCATAATTATTTCCAGGGAGTAGGAGTTACAAAAATCCACCATCTTTTTTAAGCGTTCCCTGACTAAACTAATGTAGGAAGAACCTGGTATTCTAATTATCCCATATTCCACGGTTACTAAAGTGTAGTTGCTCTACATCCTGCATGAATTCAAGCATCTGAAGCTCATATCTAGTACTGCATCTATGTTCATTATCCTTTGGACACCCAAAGCTAAGGCAACACTGAGCATCGGATGCCTTTGGACACTGTGACTAAGCAATTACATCTGTTCTTGGCAGATACATACCAACCCAGGATGCAAGTGTAAAATGCTTTCATAAGTGAAATAAACTTTAATTTTAAGAGCAGTAAAATTCTCACTCAATCAATAATCCTTATATGTGGTTAGATTAATTAATAGTATTTCTGAGTCAAACAAAACCACTGTTAAAGGATTAGTGAAGACAGGCCATTCTGGGCAGCATGTTTACACTCACTGTGCTTTTAGAAATGCTGATGATGTTTTCAAATCTTTGCCTTTTCAGATGTGGCTTCTTAACACTGAATTTTTAATCAGACTTAGAAGGGAAAGAGGTGTTTTCTTCTTTCCTGCCCCATTCCTTCCTTTTAGAATTGTCTGGTGCAGAAGTACTTGTTTAAACCCCACCTTTGTCAAACTGAAGAGACATCCTCATTGCTCTTTTGGACAGGTGCACTGTACATGGCCTAAGAGTAGGCTTTCTTTCGGTGGCCAGAGAACTGACTCTGGAGGCATTTTCTCCAGGAGAAAGGAGTGGGTCTTTTCTCTTTCTCAGCTGAACCCCTTGGTAGAAGACACAGATTTAGGGTGGCTTTCTAGAATCCTGCTGAAATCTACTAGTAACTGGACTGAGTTAGAAATAATACTTGCTACCAGGTTTGTAGTAGTAAGACTACATGTGGTAAAGACATAAAGGTTTATCCCAAAGAGGGGTGGATTAGGTCAAATGCTTGACCAAGACTGGGGAGATAAGACCCAAATTCCTGTTAACTTTGGTGGTTTGCATTTAAAGAGAGAGATAGATAGATAGATAGATAGATAGATAGTCAGACACATACACACATTAATACACCCACACAAGTGTAGAGGACTAACCTAAGCATGTTTTGTCTCAAAGATTCTGAGCATTGCTACAGGGAAGGTGATCAGAGGAGAGGATCCCGTGGAGGAGGGGCAGGGCTGTTCTGAGACAACTTCCTGCTCCACTTTGAGACTCGTACTCAGTGTTCCCTTAACTCCCTTCCTGGAGAAGGGATGGCTGGGCATGCATGAAAAAAGATGGCACAGAAAATCTAGTTTACATAAGAGGTGTGCACCAGGTCGGCTATAAAAGGACCTCTTCCCTCTCTCTTTTTCCTCTCTTTCTCTTTCACTCTCATTGTTTGTCTGAACTCTGGACCATCCATGAGGCAGGACCAACACAGGACCTAAGGACTGATGATATTCTTTGTTTTCTTCTACTGTTTTGCTAGGGCAAAGCTCAGCTATCATATTCTACTCTATACTCCATACTGGAATTTATTGTGGGAGTGGGGACCTTGTAGAGGTGTGTTGTGGCTTGTTAGCCAGCACCTTTGAGAAATGGTATGTTGTGACCTCTGAGTCAGCACCTTCGTGTAATGGTGTGTTGTGCCTTGTGTGTCAGCACTTGGATTGTGTGTTGCAACTTGTGAACCAGCACCTTTGAGGAGTTTGTTGTGGGAGTAAGTGTACTGTACGAAATTGAGAGCTTGTTAGCCAATATCTTTTGTGGAGGTGAATTGTAAGAATTCTTGTTAGCCAACACCTTTTCAGTCTAAACAGGGGGCTGGTTCCTGGAGTTATGGAAACTGTACAATGAAAGTATAAGAGTTCCTGACACATAGTCTGGTGCCTTTGTTCAGCCTGATGAGAATTTATAACGAACATCATGCCCAGTACCGATGGATTGTGACAAGAGCATATTGAAAATATACTGCCTCTGCCATGTTAAGAGTATAGGAAATCTGTGTCAGGGACTCCCTCCACATGTTGACACAGACCCAGCACAGGAAGCTGGGACCTCTGGACTCTCCCAGCAATGCAAATATCAAGCATAAGCCATTGCTTAACAAACATTTTTCACTTACAAGGGGTGAAGTGTCAGCATGTGAAACTCAAGCAGACAGGTCCTTAAAACTGTTGATCTTATAGGAGAGAGAAGTATTAGATGCGGAGAGGATTGCAACAGTGGAAGCAAACACTGTTTGTGAATTCGTATGAACTATATTTAGAATTTGAATCCAAGCATAATTAAACAGTGCTAATGAGACAGAGGGAGTTATCTTCATTTGGTGTATGATTCGTATCGCTGATTTCCTCATTCATTTTTTCCTAGTTTTAAAGCCTTCTTGTTCCAGTGAGATTAGAGGGTAAAAGATACCCTGCAGAGAGAAAGTATGTGGCCTGGAGCTAAAATTCAGTTGGAAGCCTTTTAAGGGATGCTGCTTTCTTGATAGCATCAATAACTGACAGCAAAGACACCTGTGAACATGTAGCCAACAGTCAAGCAAGGCACTCTTTTTGCAGTGTCCCCTTGAAAAAATGCACACAATATTACAAAGACTATAATGGGGAAGAAAAGTCCACCCTTTCCAGTGAGGGAAACAAAACACTGTAAGAGTTTTAATAGTTGTAGGTATATAATCCACCATTATCAACTAAAGTTTGAATTTTTTCTCAAGAATATGCTCCAACTCATCCAGGAATGTGAAGCTTCCATAGGAACTCAAGGTGACATTTTATGGTGGGCAGGTCTGGGTGGAAGATGGTAATGATCTTGCCCAACTTAAGCAGCTCTGAGCCCATAACCAGAGCAGCAGCCTCTGTTACAGCTCTGTGCCAATAGCTGATTATATTGCTGAGCAGAGGACAACAGCTACCTGTAGCTGCAGGGGCTGGACACTTTCTTTGACCTAGTCAAAGCCAGTAAAGAAGTGCAATAGGCAAAGTCAAGTCACCAAAGTCCCATTTTTGCTTTTCAGTTGTGTCTTTGGTTGGACTCAGGCTCCTTTTTATTATGCCTTAAATAGATACAATTTTTTGGAGGTTTTATTCTACATCTGTTACTGCAAACAGCAGCAAAATCAGCTGTTTCCTGAGAGGTGGCACAGTAATGACTATGACTGTACATTTCAGTGCTGCCATGCATGCCAGGGTACTTGTGCTTATTGGTTCACAAGAGTGCTCAGAAGCATCATTCACTCAAGACTTTGCTGTGCATCACATCCTAGTGGAAGTGCTTGCAGCCAGCTGGAATCTGTTCTCAATGAGTGCCTGTAAAGATTCTCCAAACCCTCCACCCTCCAAAGTGACCACCACTAACCAAATGCCTGTCCACCCACTGAGCCAAGCCAGTTCAAAGAGGAGCATTACAGTGTCTGTGAGCAAGCTCTGCTGGATATGAAGAGGATAGAGTGAGATGAATCCCACAAAACAGCAAATGTTTTTCATCTTATTCCAGTAATTCAGCACAGGCTTATTCTTTGGATTGCTAAACCCAAGACTTTGTTTTGTCCTTTTCTGGAAGGGGATTTGAACACTTTCCTGCTAAGACTGTTATGCAGATTAATCTGAGACAGAGGAATTATTATAAGTATTTGGTCTCAAATTCCCTTTAAACAATTTCACTGGACTATATCACCCTCTGTAAACACCCTTCACTCTTTTGGAGGCTGCCTCTCTTGACCACTTAGAGCCCTGTTGCTGTTCCATAAGGTGAGATTTGCAGCTGTCCTTCCCATTCACCACTGCCTAGCTGAGCTGTTCAGTCAGCCCTCTGGCTACTCATTCATAGTCAATAATATTGGGTTTAACTTTCCAGCAGAACAGATCGTTTTAGAAGTTGTTCTGCACCCCAAAAAATATCTTCATCTGCTTACATATTTCACAGAATGGCATGTCTGCTCTTGCTGCTTTTTCACTGTAATAGTCCAAGTGTTCAAGCTCTTAACGCTGCCTTGTGGTTGAACAGCAATGAGAAACACCATTGGTAACCAGAGCTGAGAGCAGCAGCAAGTAGAGCTGCTCCACTTGTGAACAGTCCAGAGCCACAACCACTTGTCCCTTGAGCCCAGCTGAAAAGGTGCCCTTTTGCAAAAGGAGGATTTCTTTCTGCCTGAGCTGTGAAACAGAAGTCCTGACTGGCTACAGCCATAAAAAAATCCCATGGCTCTCAAACTATCAGTGACTGAAGTCTTATCAAATTTGAGAAGTCTTATCACTGCTTTCTGCTGCTTGAAACATATTTTTCAATTATATTCCTTTTTAACCATCTTAGCTTAACTGCTGAGGAGTCCCACTGTCAGGATTAAACAGATGTTTTATTTCCTGCCAAAGGTGGGTAAAATAATAATCACCAACTCTGCCTCATTGGCTACCATGTGGTCTGGAAAGGTGCCATATGCCCAGCACTCAGAGACTGCTGCAGGCAGGAGGCTGGGGGCATTATTTATTATTTGCCTAATCAATTTAAATACTATCTTTCTTTCAGAAAGTACATTTCTAGTCTTTATAAGGAGTAATGTAGAGGACTCATCAAGCACCCTCCTCTAGTGAAGTGCACCTTCTGTTTAAACAACCAGTATTCTGCTTGCACAGCACATGGGGCTAGAAGCAAAGACCTTGCACTTGAAACTGCACTGTGCTCATGAGCTGCTCTCAGCATCGCAATCAACTGTAGAGGTTGTTCAAATTCAGCCCCATATGCAATAACAACAGTTTTCTATTAATACTTATGAAGAATTTCCTTGAGGAGAGTGTGGTACCTCTCCTCCAGCATGCAAATGGTGTGAGCACAAGCAAGCTGCTCATTGCTAACCTGCCTCTCAAAAACTGCTGCTGCACCTTCACAGTGACAGGATGTGGTATCTCAGGTGTCAGGCCTGGGGCAGTGTCTCCCACTGGCTGACTCCTGCAACCAGCTCTCATGTTCTACAGGAGCTGCAGGGCTCTGAGGTGAGCACCGGCTGCAGCTGAAGGGCAGGGTGACCAGGCTGTGCAGAGCATTCCGGGTACTGCATGTGGGTGGTGACTTGCTCTCCTTTCTTGGAAAGTCAGAGGAGAAGTAGTTCAAAAACCACGGGCACTCATCATGTGAGGATGGCAAATGAGGAATCCTAGGCAAGAGGTGACAGTAGGACCCCTCTGCTCTGTGGAATAGCCAAGCAGAGTGCCAAATGCAGTGATTAGTAAGAAGAAAACCATCTGGCTTCTGTCCTTTAAACAGCTCTCTTTCAGCATCTCTCTTCCTATGCACCACAAGAAATCTCCCTGTGTTTTTAGCAACCCTTTCTAGCCTTTCTGAATCATACTGCAAGGCCCCATCTACAAATGACAGGGAGAGTAAGGTGAAGAGAGAAAAAAGGGAGGAAGATGATATAGTGGGCAAGAATCTGAGATGCCTTCAGGCCTTATCTTGAAATATTACCTCTGTAGCGCCACTTATGGCAGCAACCACCAAGGCAGCAAGTCCTTTAGATCTGGAGCTGGTAATGTACTTGTTGAGGGATGGTGTTGAGTTTTCAGAGGCAGAAGTCTGTAGGCTGACAGGTAGGCATTGCGAGGACAGAAGTAAAGGCTGATGCAAGCACTTCTGAAAATTGATGAGAGACTGGGGAGCAGACTATAATGAACTCCAGCAGTGGGCATCTGCAGGTAAGGATGCACGAGCATGCTTCCGTATGAGTGACGGCAGTTTCCAAGGAGCATTTGAAAAATATTTGGTTCCCTTCCTCAAAGTTCTTAATATTTCACCCTGAATTTGTCAGTCTTCCTATCCCTTTATGATGTGTACTTTTAGGCTAAAAATATTCAGAAGCACAATGCAATCCATAAGTACATTATTTTTGTTACTTTTTTTGTAGTTAGGAATGAAAATGGCCAAGAACTGGGTTAGGAACAGTAAGTTCCTTTTCATTATTAAACAGTTAGTGCCCAGAGAGCAAGTGTGGTTTGGGGTTGTGGGGTTTTTTTGTCTTCTCTCTGAATAGGTGTTACTGGTAAAATGAGTAAGAAATCTGTTTCAAATAAAAATGTAACCTTGGAAAAAAGGCAACTTTTTCACAAAGTCATTCATTTCCAGTGCCCAGCATGTTATTTGGCAATACACAGATTTCCAGTTGGTTTCTATTTTCTTAGAAGTTGTGGTTGCTCTCTTAAAGGATTTTACCCAAGCACTGTTATATGTAACAAAAATGTATCCTATTGTCAGACTTCTGAGCCTTAGTGAAGCAGTGTCACTGCCTGGGACCATGCTTGTTTTGTTTCCTGTTTCATGTGAACACATATTTACCTGAGGGAATAAACAGTATTGTGAAACAGCTTCTCATATATTTTCTTACAGTTCTTTTAGCATCATAGCTGATAAAACTTGACTGATGCCTAGTAACTGTTAATACCGAGCTTTTATTTGTAAAAATTGCAACTTCTGTTTACAAGTTCTAATGTTTCTTGAAGAAGTTGCACTATTCCTCTGATCTAGCTTCAGTTCCCAGATTCTTTCCTTAATTTGTGTAAACACTAGCATGCGCGCAGCTCCAAGCCCATAAAAGGGGTACTTAGAAACACCAGGATGGGAAGTTTAAAATCTTCAGTTTGTTTTTAAATATTATTTTGAAGACTTGCTAAACAAAATTTCAGGGAAAGTCAGCTTGAAAGATTAGAGTGAGATTTGTAGCAAGATGGTCGCTGCTAAGTCTTAGCTACTGAATTGTCTGTATTCTCTCTCTGTACAGTACCAAGAACTGGAAACTACTTCTCTTATGCAGGTGAAAATGTAGCGGTGTTTGCCAACAATTTGCTATTTGTGTCTATCATTCATTTAGGAGCAAGAACACTGAGATGAACCATTTGTTCATGAAAGCTGCCAGCAGAGGATGTGGCTGATGAACTGTGAGGGCTGGGAAGAGATGTCTCCAGGGAGCAGGGCCCGGGCAGTGCTATGTCCTTTCTGCACACGAGAAGGTCCAGATGAGTCGACTCTCAGTGAGACCCATTACATCCAGTGCCCCTGATCAAACCAAAGCCCATAGGCCTACATTGCTTTTGCTAATACTATAATCATCCATTGCAGGCTTTTCTTACATAACTAGCAAGTCTATGTTGACTACAGGCTTTGCAGCTTGAATTCACTCATGCTTCCTATTTTTTTTAGCTTCTGTTGGAGTTTCACAGCTCACCTAACCTGCAAGGGCCTCGAACAAAGTACGTGAATATGCACCACTTGCTGGCAGAACAAACAATCCTCTCAGACAACAGGATTGTTATTAAAACGGGTTGTTTTGTTGGCAGAATAGGCTTTCCCTGTTGCCAGGGGTTGCCCAAGGTGAGCCTGACCTCTGTGGTCTCTGAAGCTCTCTCTGGTGGGTGAGCTGAGCAATGCTGGAATGCAGCATTTAAGATGGATTAACTGCGAACTTAACACAGGAAACAGTTCAGAGAGAGTAAAAGTATTACACTGCAGAACTAAGGATGAAACATAACTTTTGATCCCATAGGACACAAGTTCCAAGGCTGAGAACATGATTATTTGATAAGAGTCACAGTCATCTTGTCAGTGCAAGTAATGTTTGCAGCCTCCTCTTAAGGCAGAATTCTGCCTTTCCAGGTGCAAGGAAGGGCACTGGAGAGGCAGGCATGTGGCCAGTGGAAGAGATGGGTTTGCATTCTCCCGCTGTGAGAGGAGTAACAAAACCATGGACCCTACCTCACCCTTTCCACCCAGAGCAGGTCCCCACATGCCAGGTCTGTCGCCTTTGAACTCTTAAAGTCTTGATGCAGTTTCACGTGCATCACAGCACAAACCCTGCACTTTGGTACTAACTTCAGCTGAAATCATTTGCACAGACCGGTCCTAAGAAACACCAGTCATCCACCCAAGCGAAATTCTGAATTGCTGGCCGCACCCTGGCAACGTAATGTTTTCATACGGCCTAAGGATCAGCATGAATTGGGGTTTCTGGAAAAGGATATATCTGTTCCTTGCTCAGCTCACTAGCTCTCTAGCCACCATCTGCAAATCTCTTTGATACTCTGTAAAATGGCATATTACTACCCTTTAACTCTTTCACCAGGGCTGCAGGGCCAAACTGCTAGAGATTGACCTGAGCTACATGGAGTTTTCTGTTTGATTGAGGTAAGTGGTTTGTTTGGTTTTGGGGCTTTTTGAGCTTAGTATTGCACCTTAAATATTCCACTTTTAAACTGTGCTATGGCAGGTGTTGGCTCTCTGTTACACTGCAGCTAAAAACCCAGTTTCTACCACAGATGTTACAGGCAAATCAGTTTGAAGATTTTTGTTTCCTGAGCTAAACTACCATTTATTAGCTAGAGTTATTACTAGAAGGCACAGCACAGTGCATGACACTGTGCTGGGCTGCACAAATATGTATTAAGCCCTGGACTACCATGAAGAATGTAGGGAGTAGGATTACAAGCATGACTTAGTTATGAACTACAGACACTTAAAAATGAAGAAACACTTTTGCAGTCTGATTCTTGCCTACCACTACAGGATTCAAATCTAAAATGCAACAGATTCTATGTGTCTAAGTCCAAATGAAGAACGAAAAACTCTGAACTTGGTGCCAATGAGGCCTCCATGTTATGGAGTGATTGTGAATACATTTATTTGACTAGTACAGACAAAGCCTTATATAATTGAGGAAAACAGAGCTCTACCCTACAACATCCTTGATCCTTATCCTGCCCCTTCAACTTAATTCGATAATCAGCACTTACATCACAGAGAGTTTGGAAATATTATCCAGGCCTCTCCTTCAGCATTACACTATGTCAAACGAGTCCCTGCCTGTAAATATCTGCTTTCTTCACAACTTTCACCCAGCCCCATGGTTAGCTTGGCTTAAGTCAGCAAATACTCAGCAAAACTGGAATTTGGAAACAGCTTAAGCTCAGCCCCTTTCTGCCTTCAGATCCATTGGTTTTACAGTTCTCAAGCATCATCATTCAGCATCCAGCTGGCATCCATTTGACTACAGTTGCTGCTGGAGGAGTGGGAACCAACCACCATTGTTGCTGAGTTTATTCTGTAAATTCAGCCAAAAGAAACTGGTGCACGCCATCTCGTGGCCCTGCACAGCTATTTCCCGGGAACGAATTGAGCTCCAACTGTGACAGGGAGGTTTAATGTGAACAGGATTTAAAAGATGGCTGTCAGCAGCTCAGAAACAGCCCACTATATGACCACAGCTATGAAACTTCCACCATTAGCACTTGGTCCACACTCCTGCCACGACCTTGCAGCCTGAGCAGCTGTTTCCCGGAGCAGCAGCAGAGCATCAAGCTGCAAAAGGCACCTCTTCAACATGTGCTCACACACTGCTGAGACAGCCCTCCCCTCACAACCAATACTCTGAACACCACAGCCCCAGAGCAGCCTTTGGTGGAGCAGGAAATTACCTTATGCATTTCAGAGTAGGTCATACACTTTAATCATTCTTGATTACATGCAAGGTTGGGAATGTTCTTGGTACATCTGTCTTCATCTGCTCTCAGTACTTGTTAAAGAACTCTATGTGTCAATGCTTTAAATAAAGCTAATGTGTCTCTTCGTAACTGTTCATTACAGCTGGATACATGAACTCATGGAAACATCAGCTGTCAGTCCCTTGGTGTATCATAAATTCCTATTCCTTCTTACTCCCTTTTTTTTTTTTTTTTTTTGAGAAAAACAAGTCATTAAGAGACCCTTGCCAGAAGTGATTAAGGTGTGATTTCATCAAGTCTAGTTGAGGGAAATGGGGACAGAGTTCAATTGTGTGAATTTAAGGTCTTTGATTCTATTTTAAGTGGTAAGTTTCTGACTTAACAATGTTTATGACTTTTCAGATGGGAGATTAAATCTGCACCATTAAATCATCTCCAAATTTGAAGTCATATTACCTTTAGCAGAATTGCTGATGGCAACACTTAAACACTGTCTCACTTCCACTGCTCTCACAGCTATCGAAAGGCTGGATATATAGTCAGCAACAACAGGACTTAAAATAGCTACAGAAGGGGCACAACTTCAGACTAAGCATCTTATTTTGCCTGTTACTAGAGACAACTGCACAAGACCTATGAAAGTTTGCAGCTTGCTGTTGGAAAGAATCATACCAGATAACTTCAGATGTTACTCCGGAGGACACTGTGCCATACTGTAAGAACAAAAACAACTACCCAAGGATTATAGTTCAAAGCATCTGATTACAACCAGCAATTGTTCTAAATATGCTGTGTGATGAAAATTCTATTTTTACTGTTCTTGGGTTGGAAGTGTGTAACCATGTTGCAGAAAAGACTGTTTGACCTGTGAGGCTCAATGAGGCCTGATACAGTTGCTCTGTATAGAGGAAAAAAAGAGGGAACATCCTTCTTCTCATGTTGAGGTTTAATTCTAAGGTATGTGACACTGGATTTACAAAGGTAAATAAAAATACATTCTGAGAAATAGCAAGTGCCCTATTCAGCAAGGCAGAAGGATTTCACACTTCAAGCAGCTGAGAAACTAAACTGCTCACAGTATGAAAAAAGTATTTAGGGTCTGTGTTTGACACATGATTTTTGCCATAACAGGGGATGAGGAATGTGCAGTAGTGGGGCAGAAGAAAGACAAATACTTAAGTGATAAAGATGAGACAGGACAACAGGTATTAGATAAGGCTTCCACTTGAATTAATTGAGACATTATTACTATGATCAGCAGTCAGATGGAACTACTATTCCAAACACTGATCAGGCCAACTACATTGCCAAAATGAATTACACAGCTGTTGAGACAGGCTTTAGCTCCAGCCTGATGATGATATGGCTAAGTTAGCATATGCTTGTAGCAAACACATATAAATGAAATCCCAGTAATATAAAAGGACTGGAGTGGTACAGAAAGTTTTCCACATTAACTGTACCTGATACCAGGAGCAAAGGCTACCACCTGGAGTACAGTGCACACAACAGTTTATACAAGTGTATCATCTACAGTTATTCTACAATTTTCATCCTAAATTTCAATTTAAAAAGCCAAGTATGAATCACATGCAGGCAGATTTCATGACTCATTGCTGCAATGGATTTAACCACAAGTGCTGATCCTGCCTGCCATTAAGATGTCTGGCATTCCATCTTGGACCCATTCCTCTGGAGGGGAGCCCTTTCACAGATCTGTGCTACAGAGAGCTGAGCTAAAAACAGTTAAATGAGACTTCAGGAATTTAAAAAAAAAAAGTGATATTTTGTCACGCAAAGAATAAAATTCCAGGAATTTATTGCTGTATGTATGCTTAATCCATTAATTCATCTTACAGTAGTCATGAAGTGCCTACTGTGTGCTACATTTAACATTCCATGTATTCCCTTCCAAATGCCATTTTACAGTGGGCATATGAAACAACGCAGCAGCAGTCACAAAATATGGCTTAAGCATCTCTCAGGTGCTTAAAGACAAAAATTTGTGTACAAGCTGAATAACGAGATGTCAGTTAACAGGTCACTCAGCAACTTTAATAGAAATATCTTTAGGTGGAAGTTTTGCAGCGTTAAAATTTACAACTCAGACTAAACATTCTCATCCCACTGTAGGAACAAGATATTTGCAAAGAACAAGAACTATGGTACGTAAATGTCACACGCAAGACCCGCTTCATTTCTATTGGAAGCAAAAATTGCTAATTATAAGGAAGGACAAGCCTAGCAGGATAAGGCTGTCAGCCTATAATAAAAACATAAACCTCCAAGTTTGGCAGTGGAATTCTATTTTACCACCTTGACTTTTTTTTTTTTTTTTGGTAACATACAAGTACTCTTCCTCCCCTCCCCCACTTTATAAATCCCCTTTTATTTTTATTATACCTCCATATTATTTACAGGACTCCTAAAGATTAAGTACAAACTAGTATGAAATTAATGACAGCTTGCTTTTCAAATATGTATCCCATGGCTAAATAAATACCAAGCCAATCCAACAGAGTGATCTGGAGTTACGATTCAGAAGCTTGTGCATCTGTGACTCCAGTTGTTTTCTCATTAGCTGTGGAGGATTCATTTGATCTGTCAACAATAGTTGCCACAGAAGTTGGAGCAGCGCTATCCAAGGTGAGCGTAGAGGTCTGTTCTACATTTACAGTAGTGCCAGGGTTGATGAAAAAGCTTCCGGCTTGACTGATAGAGGGAAGCAAATCTGTAGGCACTGCAGATGCCTCTGTGACCAAAGGAAGCACCGGGACACACTTGGGTGGCATTGCTGGAGGTGTCATTCCCATTAGATTCAGAGGCGGCAAGGAGGGAAGGGGTGGCAAACCTAAAAAGAAAAAGAGGGGAGAAAAAAGGCAGTGAGCTGCTGCATATCACAGACAGATCTGGAGAGACTCTCTGTTTGCTTAAAAATTTTACATTCTCTAGTCTCCTATTTACCCGTGAAGAGGAGAAAGTTTTTTGAACTTAGCATGAGCATGATATATGTGCAGCACTGACCCAGCAGGCTCGTTTCAAGCCTGATACTTTTCAGATTTCAGAACTGAAGAATCAGAGTAAATTCAACATTGCTTGTACCTCCCCAGAGGACTAGGTATTTAATGCATAAATACTGATGATTAGGTTTTTCTGGCCTTCACTGAAACTGCCAGAAACAAGAAGTTAACAAGAACCACATTCCATATAAGCTTCCAATTTCTTTTTGCTTGCTCCATGTGCACCTTCAGCAGTTTTGTTTTACTCAAAACCGTAAATCTAGTACTAGTTCATACTTCTGGCCTTCAGTCAGGGAGCTCTCATCTCCGCATCTAGCATAAAAGGAAACACTTCGTCTTTTCTTCTACCCATAAAATGATATACTTTCACTCTTGGCACAATCTCTTCTGAGATCATAAATCAGGTAATAGAAAACGAAACATCTAAATACAGAGACAAGTTTAGAATTAGTTTATCTAAAGACATATTCCTTGTCTACCTAATCTGGGCACTAACTCCCATCTCAGGAAAACATTTAATTTATCCCCTTCAGGACTCTCCCAGATGCCTCTAAATTAGAGTCTCAGGGATAAAGGACACTCTAATTAGTGTTTCAGTTTGCAGAAGTACATACCAGGCTGTATGATTTCTGGAACAATCTGTGGTGCAGGTAAATTAAGTTTGGACAGATCAGGCAGGTTAGGAAGCCCTGTTGGTAATGGCATCAGACCTAAGAAGAGTAGAAAAGTTACAGCTGAAAACTTAAAATTGTTTCTGAGATCTTATTGATAATTTAGAACTTATTATATATTGCTTTACATCTTGATTATCATTTTTACACATAAGGATGCAAATTCACCTGAATTTCAGTTTTTAAGATGCACAGTGAAAAAAGATATCTATTGCAGAAAGTCTGAACTAGAAAATACATAATCCAAAACCTTTCATATTTTTTCTGAGGAAAGTAGATTCTTATTTCAAGGAATCAGAAGGTTTCCATTCCAGGTTCCACTTCCAATAAAGGTGGTTGTTTCTCCACAGCAATGTACCAGAAGCCCTCCATTTCCAATTTGAATGGCAGACAATAATAATAGCATTAAATACACAGTATTCCCTGATCCTTAATATTGATTACTGTATTATTAGTTTTTTCTACTTAGTTCATAACTAGAGTTAAACACAAAAATATATGTAAAAAGGCAAGACAAAGCAACTTTCAACGTCAGGAAGCACTGAAAGTAGAAGAGAAACATATGATGAATGCAACACATGCCCTTCCATCATTGTGTTTGCTATGGAACATCTTTCTTCTCCTGAATTTCCCATCCTAGAAGAGCTGCATTTCTGGGACAAGGGTTCTATTCTTACTTTGCCTTTAGTTCAAAGAAGGCTAATTCAGAAATAAACTGTTGGCACCACAGTATTAAGACAGAGAGGAGAAAAGCCTTAAAGCAAGGGCACTGTATAGAGATTTTGATTAAATCCCAGCCACTTTACCTATCCCTGAATTCATTAGCCATGAAGGCTGACAATCTGACTCAGAGCCTTCAGCTCAGCTACAAGCAACTTTGAGCTTTTTTTAAAATCTGAAAAAAACTGAACTTCATATGAATTCACTCAAATTTTAAACCTCTTATGTATTTATATGTCCATGCAAATTACAAGATATGTTCTAATTTGCTTTCAAAAAAGCAGTGATACTATTCAGAGAAAAAGGTGAAAGGAAAACTTGGATTTGCCGATTTTAGGGAAGGGGTGGATAGGTGGCCAGGGAAGAAAATCTTTATCTGCTTAGAGAAAATAGCAAACAAATACAAAGTTCAGCTTCTGGTAAAGTTCTCTGCCCTTGTTTGGATGCACTGAGCTCTACTACCTGTCTTTTCTATGTTAAAGAATGTACCCGCAAGCATTTCTTAAAACTTTTGGACACATCTTTATCTACTTGTCTCATAGCATGCAAAACATAAAATACAACTCCTTTAGTGTTCTGGAATGCACAACTGACTCCTATACCAGCGCACCAATGACACAGCAAAATCCTATACAATCCTTATTTTACCCACTGTAAATAATTCTGGGATACTAGTGCTTGAAATGTTCATGATTATCAGGAAACAACCATTTTGTAGACACACTCTTACTTTCATTATACCAGTTTAAATTACTATATAATTCAGAAACAGTAACGGCAACATAACTTCTATATTGTTAGCCCTTTATTTTAATTAGGAAGAGCAACCAAGCTGAGTATTAAAAAACAGTTTCCTAAAATGGAGATTTTATGGGTGAAGGGAATGCAGAATTAGGCAAGACAAACTTTCTCAGACCTCTGATGTCTAAGTGCAAAGGACACACTGAAAACTGCATCTATTTGCAGAAGTATTTTGCAACATAAAATGTATGAACTACAGAAAGTAACAATATATCAACTCCAATGTTGCAAATAGCAAAGCAAAATCTTCCTGAGAAATCCGGAATGCTGCATCAACTGTGCAGGAGCCCTAAAAGGTAAACATTGTAAACTTTGTTGCCAAGTCAGTCCTCCGTGCTACAGACATGCTGTGAACATACTGTAACAAAAATAATTCTTCACATTGTAGAGGTTGTATAGAGATCTTTAACATGAAATATGTAAGTTGTATGAAGTTATACCTTCCCCAAAAAGCAGTGGAAAAGACAGATCTCTTAAAATTTTTGTTTCAGAAATATTTAAAGAAATTTTAGCTACTCACCTGGTAATGTAGTTGCTGGGTTAACTGGTGGCACACAGGTAGG